TCAGAAGAGGACAGGCCCAGTTAGCAGATACCTAGGGGCCCAGACAGGCCCCTAGGTATCCCACCTAGGGGGCGAGAAACATTTTCAATGTATGCAGAGCTAGTTTTTACTAACAGAGGTTTATCAAATTGTAGAAATAGCTCTGCATCACAAAGCCGATCCTTTTCTCCTCTCAGTGAGAAGACAGAATGGAGTGGTTGGCAGCACATGTGTCATTCCTTTTCATTCGGGGAGCTGCATGATACTCTGGCCATGGACATTAGAGAACAGTAAGACATGTACATACGATCAGACTGCATTATGAAGTCTGCTGGCACCTCTGCTGCCCTAAACATGAATGCTCGGATTGTGTGAGTGCTCCTGTTTATGATGAGTAGGGGGAGCAGACTTCAGACAGCTTGGTGTCTGGCTTCAAACAGCATGGTGGTGCCCTGTGTCATTTCCTTGCCCCCCTAAGTCCTCCAGTAGCATGCATCATAGATGTAAAGGTGGCCATACATGTATTGATTTGTGATCGATTTAGGTAACAGTGTTTGCAAACAAGCGATTCATCATCAATTAAAATATCGACCAATGCAACATATTGAAAATAATCATTAAACCGATCTATATTATGATCGATTGTCTGATACACCTGCAGATATTTGTTAGATGGATCAGAGACGATCAATAAAATTCCACAGTTGCCGATCGATTTACCAATTGATATTGATTGGAAGCTTACAAAAATAATCAGAAACGGGGTCTGTGGTCTACGATTCTTATTCAATTTGGTAATTTCAGTCATAATGAATGATCAGTTGAAAGATACGTGTGTGATCATCACCCATAGATGTTAAATCAGTGCCCAGTTTGGCAGATCTGGAGACTGTCTTCTAATATCTATAGAGCACTTTTAGACAGGCCTGTGCCCAATCTCTAACACAATATCCTTTGTTCTCTCCATTTGTCTTCATGACATTGTGACTGAGACTGAAATTGATAGGAAAATACAACATTTAAAGTTGTCACTAAAATTTCCTAACCTATTAATCCAAAAACAAGAAAAAAACAAAAAAAAAACAAAAAAAAAACATTTTATGGCTTTAAATATATTTTAAAGGTGAACTCTGTGGGGCTCCCTGTTCACGTTTGTTCTTGTTTAGCGTACCTTTAAATGCAGTTAATACTTATATTACACCTCGCTCCCCTGGCAGTTGGCTCTCACCTCTTCCCTTTGAGGCTCTGGGTTTTGGATGGGCCCTTGGCATCCTCACTTACATTGCAGGACTGCTGGTCCTGCATTGTACATGATGACATCAGAATGCGCCTGCCATACAGAACGCAGAAGAGAAGGAACTTCGGGTTATGTGTGCATGGAGAGGAGGAAGCCTGTGGAGGCCAAGGGATAAGGTATGTAAAAACTACACTTACAGCTATCTCAGACAAAAACAAGGGGGAGCCCCACTGCAAGGGTAGTTGTTGAATGTTTGCAGTGCAGGGGTGCCCCACTGAAAGTAGTTGCTGAACCTTTGCAGTGCAGGGGGAGCCCCACTCCAAGGGTAGTTGCTGAATGATTGCAGTTCAGGGGTACCCCACTGCAAGTAGTTGCTGAACCTTTGCAATGCAGGGGGAGCCCCACTGCAAGTCATTGCTGAACCTTTGCAGTGCAGGGGGAGCCCCACTACAAGGGTAGTTGCTGAATGTTTGCAGTGCAGGGGGTGTCCCACTGCAAAAGTAGTTTCTGAATTTTTGCCGTGCAGGGGGTGCCCCACTGCAAGTAGTTGCTGAACCTTTGCAGTGCAGGGGGAGCCTCACCTCAAGGGTAGTTGCTGAACTTTTGCAATGCAGGGGCAGTCCCACTGCAAGGGTAGTTTTAAT